CAGGAAAGGCTGCTGCCCTGTATGTGTGAGTTAACAGTCACAAAAGGTCACCTTTTAACATGTTAAAACCCAAATCTCTCTCTTGGGCATCTGGAGGAGTGTTTTCTACACACCCTCCCAGAAGCAAAAGGAAAAGGGAAAAGGTACATTTTTCCTCTACTAATCTGACGTTCCCCCTAATCGACATAGCCATGTGCTCCCCTGCATAGGGATGGTGACTACCTGAGTTTTCTGGTTGGCAGGGTTAGTGGGCCATGGGAACGCTGATGTTTCTGGGAAGGTAGGTAATCTGTGGATCTTCTCTGGCCTGTCCAAAGCCAGTGTTCATATTTTGTGGCCATGAAGTCATCAGAATGTCTCATAACCAATGCCAATTTTGCAAAAATAAAAAAATAGTAAATGGCAATCCACATAATGAACTGGCGCGTAAGTGGGACCACCAAATAATATATCACCCACACCATGTCGTTTCTGAAGGCAGAAGGCAGCCAGCCTGTGATGAATGATGCCAGGGCAGCATGTCTGTCCCAAGCAAACCACATGCGGGATCACCACGGCAGTGCTACCGAAGCACTTGCCAAAAGAGTGAGAAAAGCGTATGCAGCATTTATTTTGTCCCCTGTTCAATGGTATTTGGAGTCTGGAGGTATTACAGATCCTTAAGCACTCAGCTACTAATCAGAGGTTGGCTGTGTGAACCCATCCCCAGGCTTCTCAGAAGAAAGGTCTTATAATCAGCCAGGAAGAGCATACAGCATGCAGTTTTCCTCTGACCCACAGAGGTCACTGGAAGTCAGGATCCACTTGAGAGCCACAAGCTCTGTGGTGTTGGTAGGTGCCGTCCGGTCCGTTCAGATACGTAGCCATGCTGCGGACAACAGAACAAAGCGCTGCCCAGTCCTGTGCCATCCTCCCAATTGTTAGCTTGAGTCCCTCAATGCCACCTGGGGTCCAGCTATCTTGTCAAAAGTCTTCTTTACTGCCGCCCATGACTTTACCAAGACACCATGCCAAGACATCGCAAGTGGGTTAAAGTTAAATGACAGCCACGGTACGAAGCACTTGATGGATTATCGCATTTAAAACTCGCAACACATGAGCCCTTATTGACTCAAGACTATTTCCCAAACCAAGGGTTTTCGAACTGTTTTGTGAGGGATGGAAACTTTTTGCAGATAAAATCTTCAACAAAGCATCAATACAGGAAAACAATAAAAAGCAGAGCTGCCCTTGACAGAGAGCTATCCATCACTGCGCCAACTCGTCTGACAGCAGATTGAAAGGCTGCCCAGTCCTGCATCACCCTCATGAACACTAGCAGGTTGAAGTGCATCATCGCAGCTATCCAGCCAAGCCACCTCATCGAGGATCTTCCTTACCTTCATCGGCTCTTCACTTTACTATCATGTGTCCTGATCATGTGTCCAAAACAAGCACACCTGACCATGTTCTGTTGTCCACGAAGAGACTGTCATTGGTCAGTTTTTGGAAGTAGGCCACCAGGTCTTTCTTCCTAGTTTCTCTTGGGCTAGGAATCCAGTGAAACATGTCCTGGAGGACCAGGCAGTATTGAAACACTGACGCCATCGCTCTCAGCAACACACAAACGACCACCGTGCGAACTGCACTGGCAAATGGGTTGGTGGAGAATTGCCCTAGTCAGAATGAAAATGAACAGATAGTCCGGAGGCCCAACCTCCTCCGCAGTCTGCCAAGGCCGTGGAGGCGCCACTCTAGAACCATGGGCTCTGAGGGATTCTGAGATTAGCTTTGGATTAGACATGGATATGTTTTAATTCATTTAATCCTCACAACCTAAGGAGGGCCATGTCATCCTGGCCATTTTATGTAAGCAAAATCCACAAGGTCATCCTATATTTTAAGTTCCTACAAAGGCAAACAAAGGCATTGATGGTCCGTGGCTAGAATTCCTGCCTCTCATGCAGAAGACCCAGTTTGATTCTCCACTGGAGGATCTGTCTCATGCACAGCCACCACCTATCTGCCAAGAACTTGCAATGCAAGTTCAAGGGCAAAAATATTTCCACAGGCTAGCCCACATCTGGAGTGGACACAACACTCTAAGGAGGTCATATTTGATTAAATTGCCTCTGGAAGAGGGAGGCTAGATTGGTGAAAGACAGGGAAGCTGGGCTATAGAGAATACTGAGGGAGTACAGGATGTTTAGTCTGGAGAAGAAAAGATTATGAGACTTTGATGGTTGTTTTCAACAGTTAGAGCGCTATTATGTGACTATAAGAAAATCAGTAAAACTTTTTTGAGTTATTTCAGTTGGGCCAATGGGGTGAGAGTTTGAAACAGGCAGATTTCAATGTCTGCAGAAGTTTTCCTGCCAGCCTTAGGAAAGGCTGCCACAATCATACGTCAACATTGGCGTGTCCCAGCTGGAGCCAACTATCATGTAAATGGCTTCCTTCCCGAACAGGTTGATCTTGCTGGGTATTGGAATAACGATGAAAATAAATAGTCTCTGAAGATCTCTGTAATGTCAATTATTTCACTTTTATATTCCAAGTTAAGTGGAAAGTAGCATAATTTGTCGCACACTTTCTTAGGCCTTCAAATCCATCAGGTTTTTGCTAACCCACAACAAATGAAGAAGTCCTTTCCCCACCTTACTGACTAAACCAATCCTGGATCCATTGATAGAGTGTCAGAGTAGATCTACTTCTAGTAGTAAAATACACTTGGGGTAAAATAACTAATAAAAATCGGAGTGTATCTCAACTCATCACTTGGACAGGTAAATATGGTTTGCTGACCAAAACACATGCAGCGGGGGGACTATCTTGCCTCAGAGGAAGAAGAGGTCCGTAGAGAGAGCCTAAAATATGGACAAAGGGAAGGATCCACATAAGCAGGGGAAATAATGGTTCCCAGCTGCCAAACTGTCAGAGGAGCGAGACACAGAGTGCTCAGTTCCCTGAGACTTCCCTAATATTTACTGTGGCTGTGTCTCCCACGCTCCGGGTCAAGGTCAGCACCTTCTGACCTGCTATGGTTTTAGGTGTGCCCATGTGTCACCAATCACCTAAGAGGTAACCGCATCCTCAGCTGGTCATTTTTATTGCCAACTTATAACCAAGAAACACTTTGGCTAGAAAGTGGCCTTTAATAAAACATGTATAGTTCAAAATAAACAAAGCAATGAAGGGCTTCTATCAATAAACTCCTGCACTGAGCACTTCTTGATTTTGTGCTGCCTACATCATTGTGGCATCCCTCGACTTGTAAGAAAGCAGGGTTTCCCTTTTGAAGGGTGAAGTCTTGCTGTTTTAATATTGTGTACTAGCTCATCTGTGACCTCTAACAACCTAGGGGTTGACAAGCAAACATAGATACAGCTAGCATAGTTATTACCTTTAACTAAAGTCATGTCACAGAGTTTCAAAGTTCAAGAGCTTAAAAGGGTAGAAAATAATGGTTTTGTATGATACTAACAGCCACCACGGCTAAAAGACAATTTCACAATTACTTTTATGATCCCTGTGGAGCAGCGGTTCTCACTCTGTGGGTCACAACCCCTTTGGGGGAGTCGAACTACCCTTTCACAGTAGTTGCCCAATTCATAACAGTAGCAAAATTATAGTTATGAAGTAGCAATAAAAATAACTTTGTGGTTGGGGGGTCACTGCAACATGAGAAACTGTACTAAAGGGTCGCGGCATTAGGAAGGTTGAGAACCACTGAGGCTGGACAGAACTAAAGATACTTACTATTGCTAATCATTGGGGGGGGTAACATCTGCATTAGGGTCTGGTACAGATGTTACTGTCAGAGCTAAAAAAAAAAACACAATTATATAGAACAAAATGTGATACAGCTATTTTATACACATAACTCCAATGAGATGCATCATTATTTCTCAGGAGGGAGCTGGCTTCTACTTGTCCAATAGTAAAGGGGAAGCTGAGTAACTAAGGATGATAACAGAAAAAAAAGCAAGAGCCAGTTGCCATTTTTCCGAGTCATTAAAGGGCCCGCCCACTGTTGTGTGGAGATTCCCAGCATACCACAACCAGAGGGAAAAGCTGGTTTCCACTTAGCATACTCACAGAAACCATTCCAGGCCAGACTTTCGTTTTACCTATAAACATCAGACAGGGAAAGATATGACAAAATAACAATTTATAAATTATCAAGGGCTCCTGAGGGAGGGGGAAAATGAGGACCTAAAGCCGGGGGCTTAAGTGGAGAGGAAATGTTTTGAGACTGATGAGGGCAATGAATGTACAAATGCGCTTTACATAATTGATGTGTGTATGGATTGTGATGGGTTGTATGAGCCCCTAATAAAGTGATTTAGAAAATAATAATAAAATAATTTACCATTAGAGAAAGGAGAAAATAAAAAATAAAAAAAACAACATAATTTACCATTCAAACAAACAAAAAAAAGAAAGTGCAACATTTCATCGTTGACTTTTCCTTAAGTAACCTGCATCTATTAATGTTCATCAAAATGCATGAACCATTTGACTATAAGCTGAACGACATGACCATTGAGAAGTGATACTAACACACCGGTTACACCGAATTCATTTAACCCTCACAAATCTATAAAGTAGTTACTGTCATTTTCCCACTTTCATAGAGGAGGACACTGAGGCACACAAGGCTTTAAGGAATCTGCCCAAGGTCACACAGCTAAGAATTGGTAGAGAAAGGATGTAAAGGCAGAACACCTGCCTCCAAAGTCCACGTACTTAACCATTCCACTGGGTTGCCTTTCCAGCCGTGGTTGGTCTGCAGGTAAAACGAATCAAAATGCCTTGTAAGGAGCAGGCACTGTATTCGACCTTGGATCTATGGTACCATATCGAGTTTGCTAGCCGGGTCCTTTGAAGCTGGGAAAAGGATAACAATCAATAGCTCATCCATTCGGCCTGTCTTTGCCAAGCCCTCTGTGTTGGACGTGATCTTTGTGTCACTTCAGTTGCAGGGTGTTGGCATAAAGGTTTGTCTTTCTCCCTTGCAGGGGTGGAATGGTCCAAACCAGCGAGCAGTATGAATTTGTGCATCATGCTCTGGGCCTGTACGAGAGCAGACTTCCCGCAGACACAGTCCAGTGAGGCGCTGAAGATTTCCCTGACCATCGATCTCTTAGGGTGAGGAATTGGAAGGCGCTTTCCGCAGCCTAAAGGGAAGGAGAGGCCTCTGAAGCCAGCCTGTGGCATGGATTGTGGAAGACTCGGCAGCCTCCTGAAGATGGCCAGTCTCTTGTGTATATGAATGCCTTTGTAAGCATCCCCCAAATGGTTCTGAAGGTCATGTGCTGAAGGAGATGTGACAGGTGTCTCACACAGCCCAAGGTGGAGCTTGTTTTGTCCGTAGCACCTGTCTGCCACACAGAGAGTATGTGCGTAACACTCTGTGATATGGTCGTCACAAGACGGCCTGAGGAGTTGCAGAAGAAATTATCACTGTGTGCTTAGACGCTTTGTTTGCAACACAAGTCTTGTGAGTGGACTGTCAGCTCTTCAACTGCTCCTGTTTAAGTGCTGTTATCTTTCTCAGTTACCAGAATCTTGCTGCTAAAGTTGCAAGTGATTGATAGCGGATTTTTAACAAATAATTCCCTGTTTTCGGTTGCGGGGAGGGGGAGGGGAGCAGTAATTCTTTTATATGGAAATGTGTCTTGATAATATTACCTATTACATGTTTGTTTATAATACCTCCTATCGATCAACTTCAGAGCACAATGATTGTCATCCGATCTATATGTACTGACTCGCTACTACTGGACATGGAGATAAATTCTGCTCCAGAACTCTACCCAGTGTGTTTCTACATCCTGAGTTGTTTTATTTTAAAAGGGACAAACACATGTGTAGTGACTATGAACTATCAAAAATTGAAAATACGTGTCCATCTTGCACTAAGAGGGAGTTTTTGAATATGCTCGCCCCGTGGATGCTTTCTCCCAATAAAAGGCTGAGACGTACCTCTGGGAATGATGCAACCAGTCCCATTTCCAGAGGTTCTTCCAACGGAAGATGCCACACAGATCCTTACCTTTCTGGAAGGTTTTAGTCCTCAAGAGACAACTGCAGTGAAAATAACTGTACCCAGCAAGCACGAGGCATTGAGTTCAAATATCATGTTTTCATTCAGCAATGTTGACTTTGTTTCATACTGCCAATAAACTACTCTTAAATTCTAAATGTTGAGTCCCATATATATGTTTTCCCCTCCATCTAGTTAAAGAAAGACCAGTATCTTTGGGGGAAGCCTGAAATAGATCGTGTGATGGGTTTAATTTTAGTCTCTGCATCTGCCCAGGGGAGATGACTATCTCAGTGTGTAATAGTGTCATCGCTGGAGAGGTGATGAGCTCAAAGGACCATCATTATGTGGTTTTCCTCGAAGGTCGCCCAGCATATCATGATACAGACAGTACTTGTTTACAGCTTTGTATCACTCGTCATAGGGCCTCAGGAATTGCATGGTTTGTGTTGATTCGCATCACCTGAAGAGAAGGCATGCTAGGGGAACAGTCAATTATCTCTGATTACCATTCCCGTCTTCGCTCTTGAGGTTCAGAAAGAGTCATCCGCCAGCCAAGAGGTTGGTAGGTGAAGACTTAGAAGTTTTATTCTGCTTCTGGAGACTGGAAATGGTTTTTTTTCTAAATTAAAAAATTTTTAAAGTGGTCATCATAATCCCTTCTTTCTAAGGAAACAGACAAAAGGACATTGGTGTAAAACTCCTCCAAACAATTCAATAGGAGGAAGTGCTCGTCACTGGCTCTCCCCCCACCATGAAGGCACGTTTCCTTCCTAGTCTCGGCTTCTCTTATCTGGGAGAATTTTTTTTCCCCCCAAGCGAAGCATGAACGGGTGTTAAGTGGAAAATGGAGGCTGAATTTTACATGGCGGTTCTTACCTGCTTGCTCCTCGGGAACTCAGGTGAGTGTGCCTGCCTCCCTTCCTGAGGGATTTCTCCTCTCCCCAATCCAGGAGGGAGTCTCTGGCCTTTGGAAAGTCTCTGGAAGGAGGTGGAAATAGAGCCAGGTCACTATAATGAGAAAGGGAATATAAGAGGAGCCAGCAGGGCCCACACTGTTTTGCTACAAGAAAACAAGTCATAAATACCAGTAAATGGTCTTTTAAATGCCTCAGGCTGCTCCTGACATGGCATTTTTCACAGCAGAGAGAGAAGCACCCTAGGACAATTTTTGATGATTATATAACAATCTGTGGCATTTTTTCCCCCTGTAATCAGGTAATTTGTTTGTTTTGTCAGAAAGAAAATACAAGCAATATGATTAAGGGGGGCAGGGGAATGTGGTGTGTTTTATTGGGAAGTTGTCATGGGAAGGGCTGAATGTTTTCAGGGAAGAGCTGGGTCGTTGGAGAGCAAGTGAATGCTGGACATGATGGCTAAGCCAGGAAATCTCTCGCTTTTCAGGACTGAGGTTCAGCAATTGGATGCTGCGTTTTCTTACAGCAGGAAATATTGGTTTTCAAAACGTATATGAATTTATCTTTGTGAGAAAAGTGTAAAGAGATTGTCACAAATAAGTTAATGATTCTCTACAGGGCTTTAGGAAAGTTACTTGGTGGTAATCAATAATTCCATTGGTTTCTATTGGCAAGGAGGAAACATCTGCGAGGGGAGAGAAGGAAATCTCTCGGATTTGTTTAATTTTGTTCAAACTAAAAATGTGTATGCAGGCCCTGCATTGGTCACTTGGAGTCAAATCGGATGTTTTGTTTTGTTTGAGAGTCGGGGGGCAGTGAGATGGAAGGAGTAAAGTGGGAGAGGACGTCGGTATATTTAACTAATTGAGCTAACATGTCTCCGAGTTGTTGGGTTTGTTTCTCTTGACCCAGCTTTCTCTCATTGTTTCCCTGGGGGTGTGGTTTTTTTCTCAAACCAGGTGAACGTAAAAGAAAAGGAGATAAATATGTGTGACATCTTGACATTTTATATTGTCCACCTGGGGGGTTTAAATCCCATCTGTGGAATCTGGGAACTCCACTTAAACTAAGGACGGGGACAAGCACCCCTAGTGTTTTTATGTCGTGAGTTGTCCATGGGCTTTTTGTTTTGTTTTCTAATGAGCTTCACACCCTGCCCTTCAGCCCTTCATGAGCTTTTCATCTTGCAGAGGGGTTTCAGATTGTCCATGTCCAGAAACAACAATGCCTTTTCAAACACAACATAGTGGCCATGGGCTTGTGCAATGAGACCAGCCAAAACCATCAGTGGATGTGGACTGAGAAGGAAAAACTCCTCCATGTTAAATCCAACCTGTGCCTGGGCGTCTCCAACTCTTCCCGGGGCCCTTCCCGGGCAGCCATCTTCACGCCCTGCTCCCAGGCACCCCGCTGGACCTGTTATGAGGAAGGGGGCTTCCTGGAGGTGGAAAATGCCTCTCTGTTTCTCAAGAAACAAGGCTTCAGGGTCATGGTCAAAAAGGACAAGAAATACCTGCACAGCTGGATGAAACTAGAGGTCAACGAGGAGGGAAAGCTGGCCAACGAAAGCATCTGCTTGAGAAAAGGTGAGCTCTTCCTTCCAGAGTCCGGTTTGAAGGCGCTTCTGCTACGTGTCTTGTTGTTTCACATTCAAAGGTGTTTACAGGCCCCAATGCCGTTCCTATAGAAGATGCATCAGCTAAGGCAAGTGGATAGTATGGTGCCCCGTGATTTGGGAAACTTTATTACCCACATTAAAATAAGCACAATTTTTTTTCTGTTACTCTCTGTTCTTTCCCTTTGTTTCCTGTTTGCTTTATTCGTTCAGCAAATATTTAGTAAGCTTCCACTTTACACCAGACACAATGCTAGGCACCTTGAGTTATGTGCTTTTTGATAAAGGAATATAAATCTAGGAATATACACAGCATACACACATCAGCTGGCTCATATAGGTCAATGATGAGGAAATTAGTCAATGTTGCTGACAGACTTTTCCAGTTTAGGTCTGATTGTGAGGAATTATACAGCATCGAAGTCGCATTCTGTAAGATTGGGTAGATGACTCGTGCCTTGGCAAATCTCTTGTTAGCATCTTTAGCGAGGCTTCTAGCTTGGGGTGCAATGATGGACAGAGGCTAGATGAGGGCCACATGTAAAAACGTATCCAGGTACACACGTTTCTGATGCAGCACAGCTTGAGTTGGGGAATTTTGTTTGTGGAATTTGTATATATGAAGCTGGATCTTCTCTTTTGCTTAGTATGATTGCTGATCCTTCTGTTTGAGATTTGCTTTAGGAAATCATGAAAAATAAAACTTATAGAATCACAAAATTCTGGGCTCACAGACAGATTCCAAATGACTGGGAAAAGTCTCTGGACGTGGAGACTTTCATTAAGAAGATTGAAGTGTATCAAAGTTAAATTCAGAATCATGGGTGATTTAGCAATAGAGAATGGTTGTTGTTGTTGTGTGCCATAAAGTTGATTCCAACTCATAATGGCCTCGTGTGCAGGAAGGAGAACAAAACGTGCCCCACCCCTACCTATGACTAGAACCCAAGTTCCTGAATTCCCCAAGGTCGTCTTCCATCATACCAGGGGTTCGATGTTCCAAGTTCTTGGCCTACTGGCTTCATAACAGTTTGCTGTTGTGCTTAGGTGCCACCGAGTGGGTTCCTACCCGGAACCATCTTAAGTCCTGCAGAACAAGGTGCTGCCTGGTCCTGCCCCATCCTCACAAGGGATGTTTGAGCCCATGGTTGCAACCACTGTCATTTCATCCCCTTGAGGGTCTTCCTCTCTCACTTACCATCTACCAAAGACCATGTCCTCTCCAGGGACTCATCTCTTCCCAACACATGCCCAAAGGAAGGGTGAGATCTCGCCCCCTCCACTTCTAAAGAACATTCTGGCTGTGTTGCCTCCAACACAGCTGTATTTGTTCTTCTAGTTATACGTGGTTATTTCCATATTCTTTACCAGTGTCAGCATTCAAATGCATCCGTTCTCCTCCCCGCTCTTCCTTATTCACTGTGCGGCTTTCGGCTTTCGCATGCCTGTGAGACCTTTGAAAATGCCTGGGTTGGATCGGGTGCATCTTAGGTCTCAAGTCTCAAAGTGACAACTTGGCTCTGTAGGGTTTTAAAGAGGTTTTGCAGCGGATTAACCCAATGCACTGTGTCGTGTGATTTCTTGGCTGCATTGATTGTGGACCCAAGTAAAATGAGATCCCTAACAATTTCAAACTTTTCTCCATTTATAGTGATATCGTTTATCGTCCCAGATGTGAAGATTTTTGTTTTCTTTTCATTGATGTGAAAGCCATACTAAAGGCTTTGATATTATCCCCTATTGGCAGCATATTTTGATGCTTTTTAAAAACTCCTCAGATGATTTTGATGCATGCCCCCATTTGGGGCTCATCATCCACTGTACTCTAAAATTTCTTTCTCAGATAATGACTTTTAAGGCTCATATGAATTTTCCCACCATGCTGACTAATAGGCAGTTTTCTGCCTCTCCTACATTTCATGAACTAAGCAATAGTTTAATTTTATGTCCTTTGAATGCAGTAGGACTCTTCTACATTAGATTTTGAGAGGCACAGTCTCATATTAATTCTGACTATGATAATAAAAGTAGAGTAGCCAAAAAGATTTAAATTTATCAATAAACATCACCAATAGCACCAATTACAGAATTCTTCTCTATGATTTATCTGAATATCCCCATCCTACACAAAAGAAAATCACTGTAAAAATTCCAGGACTAGCATTATCTACCACTCCACTCATCTGTCAGTTGGTTGTACTGGGGTGGCTGTGTGTTGCTGTGACGCTGAGAACTATGCCACCAGCATTTCAAATGCCATCACAGAAACCCCTGGTGAGTAGGTTTCAGCTGGGTGGCCAGATGAAGTACAGACTAAGAAGGAAGAATAGGCTGTCCACTTCCAAGGAATTCACCAGTGAAAACCTATAGACGGCAGCTGAACATCCATTGTCCATAGAGTGCCAGAGAAGAGTCCCTCAGATAGGAAGGCAATTGAAGTATGACTAGGGAAGAGCAGCTGCTGCCTCAGGGGAGCCGTCACCTACGTAGTGATGACAGTGACATGGGTAGAGTAAAGCTCTGGACCTTCGTTTACTGATGACACATGACTGAACGAGAAGAAACAGCTATAAGCACCCAGAAAAGATGGAAGTTCTCAGAAATGAAATGGAATTCACAAAAATAGTTTCAAAGGGCAGCAGAAGGAAACAAACTATTACCATATATACTCGAGTATAAGCTGACTGGAATATCAGCCGAGACCCCTAATTTTACCACAAAAACTGCATTAAAAATGTGCTGGAAAACTCAGCTTACACACGAGTATATACGCTACATGAAATGTGCAAAGACGTGTACAGTCAGGAAACCAAAAGGAAAGAACATACTCAACATACCACCTCAAGCTGAAAGAAATGAAAAGTCGGGCTTCCTGTTGCACTATTGAAGGACAGTATGGGCAAAAGATTGGACAACCCATGGAGCCTGGAAATAACACACAGTCACTGTACCAAAAAGAACTGGTTAACATCCAACTACTTCGAGAGGTAGCATATAATCAAGAACCAGTGATGTTGCTGGAAGAAGTCCACGCTGCACTGAAGGAACTAATGGACAACAAGACTCATGGAATTGAAGGAATGCCAACTGAAATGGTTCTCCAAGCTGGTGAAGCACTGGAAGCCCTCACCAGTCCATACCAAGAAATTTGGGGGAGAGGTACTGATTGCAACTGATTGGAAGAGAGCTATATTTGTCCCCATTCTACAGAAAGGCAATGCAACAGATTGCCAGAAGAAACCAGCTCATAGCACAATCATTACGGGTTCTGTAGGCGCAATTATACAGCGATAATAAGTAAAAATTATAATAAAGTTATAGAGAGCATGAGAGATAAAAGAGATATATAGAAATAAATGGAGTCAGACACATTTTACATGGTAGTATTGCTCATCTCAGCCCCGCATGATGGTCCACGTGGAGGAAGAGAGAGGGGAAGGAGGACAGGACAGGAGAGGAGAGGGGGAAGAGAGGGAAGCCACTAGGGAGAGAGAGAAACTTTAATGCTTCCCCAGCTTTTATCCTCTCTGGGGAAGTGCAAGGCCCCTAATTACAGGTGAAAACATATGTCACAGGAAGGGGTTGCACTATAGGTTATACAGTAAAGAGAGGGGGTGGTCTAGGGACATACATGCAATAGGAAGAGGAAGGATTGGGGTATACATGTGACAAGATGGGCGGATCCTAGATTTAGGATGGCAGATTAACTTTGACCTGTTCCTGGGTCTCCATAGGAACCATTATCAGTAGGGTGTAAACCCTTCCTACAGGAACCAAGCTAAAGGTCCCAAGCTTCAGAGAGAAGTAGTCCATTGTCTCCAGCAGCAGGGAGCAGGCCCAGTGCAGTCTGGCAACTGATCGCCCTCAGTGGGGTGATTGCCTGCACATCTGACCTCCCCCCACAACAGATGCTGAAATTATCTAGCATTATCATTATCACATCAGTAAAATTTTGCTGAAAATCATTCAGCAATGTTTGCTGCTAAGCATTAACAGGGAGTAGTCAAAAATTCAAGCTAAATTCAGAAGAGGATGTGGCATGAAAGATATAATTGCCAACATCCCATGCAACTTGACTGAAAACAGAAAATAGCACAAAGATGTTTCCTTGTGTTTTATTGACTACACAGAGGCATTTGCCTGTGTGGCTCATAACAAACTATGGATACCATTTAAAAGAGCTGGAATTCCTGAACACTTCATTGTGTTCGTGCGGAATGTATATATGGACCAAGAGGTCGTTGTTAGAGAGAATAAGAGGATACTGAGGGGCTAAAAGTAAAGAAAGGCAGACGTCGGGTTGTATCCTCCACTTGTATTCTTGTTAAATCTGTATGCTGACCAAAGAATACAAGGAGCTGAACTCGATGAAGAAGAACGCAGCATCCGGATTGGAGGAAGGCTTATTAACAACCTGTGATATGTAGATTTATTTGCTGAAAGCAAGGAGGGTTTGAAACACTTGCTGATGAAGATTAGAGACTGTCACCTTCAGTGTGAATTGACACTCAATATAAAGGAAACGCAACTCAGAACAATACACAGCAACATGCTAAATGGAGAAAAGATTGACGTCGTCAAAGATTTCATTTGACTTGGATCCACAGTCAATGCTCGGGATGCAGCAGTCAAGAAATCAAACAACAGATTGCATTGGGCAAACTTACCCCACAAGACCTCTTTTAAGGTGCTAAAGAGCAAAGCTATGATTTTGAGGACTAATGTGTGTCTGATTCCAGGAAAGGTATTTTCAATTGCTTCATCTGCAGCTGGTTGGGCAATGAAAAAGGAAGCCCAGGGAGAAGAGTTGATGCATTTGAACTTGGCATTGGTGGAGAAAACTGAGAAGTCCTGTGGACTGCCGGAAGAACAAATCTGCTTGGAAATAAGTACAGCCAGGATGTTTCTTAGAATCCAGGATGGTAAACTTTATCTCGTCTATATTTGGACATGTTATTCAGAGAGATTAGT